GTCAAGTACTCCCAGGTTTTCCAGTCGTTCTCTAACTAATGTCAGCTCATGATGAAATCCTGAAACCAATCAAATCCCTACAAACCAACACTTGAATACAAAATTAACAGTTATGCAACACAGCTTAAATGATGTTCACATTTATGAAAAAATAAACAAATAAAAACAAAAAATTGAGAGGATTATAAATATAAGAAATACAATAACAATAAGGTTTGATGTTGTAAGAGTGGAGGAAATGGTTTATTTAGTAGTGGAAAGAAGATTAGTTAGTTCATGCCTAACACTATTTTCATCACATAACGTACGTGCCGTCAAACATAGTATAGTGGAAGTTTTATACTTACACGTACGTGCATAAAGTCTTATGAAAAGACTACTTGTTTTACCTGAGGAGACAAGAGGTTGGAGCTGGGGGTGCTGCTGTGGATGTTTGCAGTCTAACAACATTCCTTTAGCGAATTTATCGCAATAAATCAAGTGTCTATCAGTGACAATGTCAACGATATGGCCCAATGGGATACCAATCGTCCTACTGGCAGTCTTCAGAGTTCTACGAAGAATGACATAGTCTTTTTTAAGCAATCCAGGAAAGAATAAGGGTGAACAGTAAAGAAGAATAGGTAAGATGTAGGAGTTGACAAACTGTAAGAGGAGTGGTTGGCTTATGTCTGAGCACCTTATCTTCCTGATGTAAAAAGTTAGACGAAATATTCTTTTAGAAATCGCTAAGACATAGGAAGATCAGGATAGGTCAGAAGAATGAATTAATCCAAGATACTTAACAACTTCAGACTCGGTTTCTATATCAGTATCATCAGTTCTGCCACATTCATAGAAACCAACAGCTTCATTTAGCCCTTGAAATGACACTATTAACCGACTGACTATTTACAAGAGTTGGTTTGCGAGGATTTCATATAGGTATGGAACTGTGGTCGAGTATAACTCCATTATAGATAAGATTTTATTTTGATACGTCACACAGTGTTGTTATTCAGTAATATTAACTGGTCACCATATTTCAAGCACAGTTTATTGCCGCTCATTATCATATCAAGTCAATACTCACACAACTTTCTTCCTTCATTTATATACATAAAAGTTAATATAAGATAGTGTACACTGGGAAATAATATTAGTGTTGTCAATCAAATACAGTCAGATGGGAAAAAAAATGTTTTTATAGTCAAAATAATTAACTTGTTAGGATGTTATCATGTGACTCGTAATAATATCTTCAATATCTCTAATATTTGCGTCGATTGATTTCTGTTGTATGTGTTGGGTGTGTAGACACGATGAACAAGGATTCAGTAATCAATCTCTCTCTCTCACCCCAACTACCTATATTCTTTATTTAGATCCAGTTTTAAATAACGGAGGATTATTTCAAAAGTATCTGAATGATGTCAAGTATGACCACTAACTGATACATTTAAAAAACATCAGTAGATGTTTCGCCCTTTTTGGGTCTCCTCAGCAATAGATACCTATCATCCATCCATTAAGCGTCGAATTATGTTCACAACTTGTTTTACTATTATTATTACTCCTTTCATTGTGGATATGGTCAAAAACTAACACCAGTTGGAAAACCATTGAAAATCAAGGGTTGGATAGATCGACTGATACCTTCTGTATTGAATTTCCTCCCAAATGATAGAATATTCAATGAACTCGATTTGTAACGTGAAGGTCTTGGGTGAGAACTTTGTTTGGGCTATTGGTGAATACTGATAAAGAGTCGCCGACTAGGACGAAGCACATATCCAGTTGTCTTTATGTTTTAAATAGTTCTCTGAAGTGTTATTGATTCTGTTTTGGGCTTTAGCATTCTGATTTGTTGATATCTTACCTGATTAATTTTCAGTTGATTTAGTAGGAAATTTAACCATGAACTAACATCTTTTAGAGAACCAGTAAACGCCAAGGGATACTGGATAATTGTTCTGGTTTTGTAACGGACTTCACCTTTTGTTCTTAAGGTTATTTGTCCGTTAGTCATTGGTAAGCTGGAAACTGCTATTCAATGACTCGGTCTACGTGGCCAATGGCCCGACCGAGAGCTTTTACGTAGACGTGGTGGTTGGGCTCGCATATTGTAATGACCTAACAAGCTACACTGGCTGGAACTATTTTTCTTGCATTCCAGGAAGACCGTTAGGATAGAGATTAGATTAAAAGTAGTTACCATGACAATGTTTTTTACTCCATGCTGCGGGTCTGTGGGCGAAGTCGTACTGCTGGGGAACAGAGATGTAACGACAGTAAGGCGTTTTCTTCAGAGAACCAGCACGGTGCGTAACCAGCGGTAAGTTTACTAATACGGAACCAATCCAAGAAAGCAGTTCATACAGGACGTATAAAACCGGCTTCAAGCAGTTGTCCCCTTGGGCTCTGCAGTCACGCAACACCAATTCTCTTTATGTTTCAGGTACCCAAAGAGAAAATCAATTTCCATGGTGGTGTGGACAGCCGGAAAGTAGCAACTGCCCACATACTCCCAAAAGCACACAAAGCCTGAATGATCTTCAAATAGATTCCTGAAAAATCTAAAACCAGGATGATATCTACTAATTCCAGATTTTTAGCGACCTCTAAAATGACCTTGGCGGCCTGCTTAAATCTTGGGCTAGCAATTTCCTTAAACATTACAAATCATATATTGCATATATTGGCTATTGATGAAATGTACCATTTGAAAATAATCAATATGTTAACAGATGGTTCTAAGAATTTATGCTGACTTTGAATGACAGTCTATTTGCCCTAAAAATAGAAATACAAATAACCAGGAATATGCTTTATTTTAATTAACATGTTCTAATGTATGCATGTGCGTGTGTGTATGTGTGAACCAGTGATAAATATATCTGATGTGAGAATTACTCATTCTTGATTTTAATCCAAAAAAGTGATAATCTATTTATTTTTCTGTAGGAGTGAGAACAGAACGGGTCAAGGTCACCCACCACTCAGGGTCATGTTGCTTTTGTTCTCATTCACTTAGAAAGACGAATCTGAATGTCAAAAAAGGAAGAAATTCATTTTAAAATTTAAATTCATGTTAGACTGCATCTAGTTTAAAATTTATCTCTTTGTTTCGATTGATCTTTCCTAATTTAAATTCTGTCTAATCATGGTTTTCCAAGGGTTCTCTAACCTATGTCAGCTCATGATGCAATCCTGTAACCAATCAATCAAATCCCTATAAACTAACACTTAAATATCGATGAAATGTTCACTAGCGACTGGCCATATTCAGGTAGGTAGTTAACTGGAGTTCTAGTGGGAAGTTGTGACTAGTAGGGTGCAGCAGTTCGAGTGTGAGGACAAATACTCGCCGAAGATATTGGACTAGCGGTCGCGCTATTTCGTGAATTGTCAGAAGTCGGAATTCATGGGGTTGTTTTTGGATCAAGGGCCAGTGGCTTAATGGTATACGAGGTCGCTGGTCTTGTAACCACTTTGTCCTCTGTTCAAACCCCGTGGTGTGGGTGCGTACTGTTGAAGAGTCCCAAACTAGGACGAAACAACTATCCAGTACTCCCTGACAAGTTTTCCAATGGTTCTCTAACTGATGTCAGCTGATGATTTGTTTTCCGAGTTTGAACACCACATATTGATATCAGTTAGAGAACCCAACCAACTAGGGACTCCTAGACAACTGTTTCCTCCTAGTTTCTGGGGTTTCTTCAGAGGTACACACTCACGGGAGTTCGAACCCAGGACATTCAGGCTAAAAGGCAAGCTAGTAAACCCTTCAGACACTGGGACCTGATTCACTGGTCATTCCAGGAATTATAACTTCTACTAATTCGTGCTTTTAACATAAGTGATCCGAGCCAGTGCCATCTATGGTGAGTATTTGTCCTCACCCTATGTGGTGAATATCACTGGTGCCATGACTTCTCACTGGAAATTCACTAAACTTCGTCGTGTAGACAGACACTATGGAGCATTACATTAATTTTCAAGTTTTTTACGAGTACTGTGAATCATCTGTCCAGTACTACTTGGTTTTCAATGGTTCTCTAACTGATATCAATCCGTAATCGAACTCGTAAAAAGCAATCTAATCCTTACAAACCAACTCCGGAAAATTAATCTGATGCTCGCTAGCGAGTCGTTACAGGACGAATTTAGTCGCCTAGACTTGTATTGAGATGTTGTGACCAGTGAGGTCCATCCAGTCAAGTATGAGGATGGATATCCCCCTGATGACAGTGGTTGGTGCTAGTCGCTCTAAATATCACCAATTAGTGGAATTTATAATTCATAGACTGGACACTGAATTGAGTCTCATTGGCTTTATGGCTAAGAGCTAGGTCGCCTTTTAACAGCGAGGTCCTGGGTTCGAACTCTGGAGTTGGGCGCATACTTCTGAAGAGTGTCAAGTGACTGGGACGAAACAGACCTGTCCAGTACTCCTTAGTCGGTTTTCCAATGGTTCTCTAACTGATATCAATCCGTGATCAATTCATAATAAACCAGACCAACTCTTGATAATAATTTTCAAGTGTCAGAGGTTTTAGGGATTTAATTTTTTTGAAAACCTAATAAGTGATTTGCATTCTATATATTTTTATTTAATGTCATTTACTCCTATGAGGATGTCTGCCTTTATTTTTGATTTTAGAGGTAGGTATCCATTGTAGAATGACTGTATTCTATCGGTACCTTATTGATTTATTAATGAGGAATTATGACTAATTTTCACCCTGTTGCCTAAATAAACACCATAAGTTAAGCATTATTTCCTATATAAGTGGACAACTATAACGTACGCACACACACGCACCGTATAACATGACACACCTGATGTGTTTTACTGCTTATAAGATCGACGTTATATGATTGGTTAATTAAAATTAATTGTTTGTTTAGTACTCAGAGAAGAGTGTGGATAGATAGATAGACATACACACACGCACATACGTGTTAACCTTTCACAAACGGACACATGTCTTAAATAATGATAGTACGGTCCACTAACACTACCACCATCACCCCCGCATAACATAAAATGGGCGTTGCACCAATCATATGTAGTAATAAAGAATAAAACACAGTCAGCAGTGGACGGATTCTAATTTGTCTTCATTTTTTTGTTTCAGATTATTTTCTATTGAACACGTGGTCAGCCCAATGGGCGTTATTGCTTAATACATCAGTTTTGGGCAAAGTTATTATTATTATTATATAAAATCATAGAGCATTGGGAGAATATTTGCTTTACTCTTGTGTTGACATAAAGCATATTGCTATAGATACACTTTGAACATTTGGATAAATACGCTTTTTGAGTGCACGTACACACACGCATACTGACTCACATACACAAACAGAAACACACCGAAATGATATTCATATGTCATGTGTTTGCATGATTCAACTCAAATGATGATATCGACTTCAATGACAACAAATACAACTGGTACTTCTTCATCATCTACGACAACGCCGACAACTTCGACGACGGCGCCTATGCCTATTCCTACTTCTAATACTAATACTGATATGCTTCCGCCGAAAACTCCACAATGTTCTATCCCATCATCATCATCATCCACAACAAATTCATTACACCATTCAAATCTATATCACCATCATCAACATCATCATACAGAAAATTCCCTTCCAGGTGGTGGCGATGATGATGATACTGCGATCAGTTTAGATGGGACTTGTTTTGGCGCTAATCTTAACGAGGATTCTATGATGATATTATCACAATCAATTGATTCTATACATACAGTTGGAACTAATAATGGGGAAGCGAATGAGGTAATTGCTAGTGTTTTCGGTATTAATATTATTATTAGTATTAGTAATAATGATTAATATTGCATAAGATTCCTTTTGTTAATACGAGTTTGACCACGTGTTGGTATCAGTTACAGAATCAGTGAAAAACAACTAGGGAGTACTGGACAGTTGTTTCATTCTAGTCTGGGATTCATCGGCAGTACGCATGTTCCACAAGGGTTTGGACCCAGGACCGAGGCATGTTAGTATACCATTCACCCACTGGTACCTGACTCCTTAACGGCCAGTTCATGAATTCTAACTTCTACTAATTCGTGATTTAGCACAACCACCAGTGTTTTGGTACTGCCGATGATTCCCAAACTAGGATGGACGAAACAGCTGTCCAGTACTCCCTAGTTGGTTTTCAATGCTTCTCTAACTGATATCGATCTGTGGTGGTCAAACTAGTATAAACAAATCTATTTCTTACAAACCAAACTCTTTTTGTTACTGTTGACTAGTAATGGAATTCAGAGAGCTTAATTTGTCCTACTTGGGTATGGTCAGCTGGATGAGACTCGAACCCTACAGACTTTGTTTCAAACACCGAAGCACTATTTACTAAGTCATTAGGTGACTTTTGTAGCCTAGTAGATATAATGTTCCAGCGTTTGAAACAATGGGTGGTAGGTAGGATTCTCAGTGAGAACACAATCAATCAATGGGTATTGCAGGCACATACAACTTACAAGTAGCTCTTCCTCGGATGAAATGAGTCTTTTGAATGCTACGTTAATCCGCAGACATTGTGGAAGTCAGCATTCTGGTCTGACTGACTTACTGACTGGTTTCAACACAGAAATTTGTACCGATGTGCAGCAGTTCGAGTCGCCACACTCCCTACCCCCGCCCCCCCCACTTACTACATAATGCAAGACAAGGAAGTAAAAAGAAATGCAAAATAGAGACCGTAAACAGAGATGTGAGGCACAAAACGAATAGTAATATCGAAGAACAATATAGTTTCACTGAGGCATTATAAGTCATAAGGAGTGGATGCGTCTGAGACAGCCATCCCTGAGAACGATTTTGAGTCATATAACTGATTATCTCCAGTCATTGTCATTGGTGTTTGCCGTCTCAAGGATCCGAACCATTCAGGAAGTCTACATCTCCCGACGTAACTGGCTTAAACTAACTGTTGTGGGTCTTATTGATTGATGAAGCCGTGTTTTGGTTTGACCACCATTGGCTATCCTGTTTCAGGTAACACTGCCCGTCGAGGCGGCATGCGTAATACATATCCTAACCATCTCTCTCAATCGATGTAACTTCACAACCTGGTCGACTGATTTCCCCTCCCACCTCCATAGCAGTCGACCAAAACCTAACCTCAATATTGTTCACCCTATGAAATCACCTCACACGGGAGATAGAACGCATGCGCCTATGATCAAAAACAGCTAGCCAGTCAGCCTTTTCATGTATCCCACTCTCAGTGTCCTGGCCTCATTCACAGCCAGCCATAAGGGAGAAGGTAGTGAGCTGCTGAGCAATACACCCGCCTCCCTTTTGATCGATAGCCAGTCGGATATCACGTCTTCCTCCAGACAGACGACATTCTGGTCTAACACAATCTGAAGAAATAATAAAATTTTGTCAGTAAGATGCAAGAAAAAGGCAGACATCCTCTGTATATTATTAGTAGTAATTAGATTAAAACTAAACATACTACTTATTTAATTATACGGAGAAAAAAGCATTGGAACTTGTGAAAAAAAAAACAAAGGGTGAACTGAATATTTATTTATTTACCCAGATAATGTCGGTTACATTTATTTAAGAAAATATCCGGCTTACAGAGTTGTCAACGTTTCCGTTTTGTCTGAGAATACTTAGATGAGAAGTTTTGCATACATACAAGATTAATTGTATAGATAGATAGATAAATATATCTCCATACGAAAAATGGCGTCATTCATTGTAGATGTAGGTGTGTATTTTCAGACAGGAGATGGATGACGCAAACTTGTTCTTAGCATGAAATTTGTGCTTTTAGCGCCTATTATTATTATTGTTGTTGAAGTCACCTATGTTAGAGACCAATAATGTTTGTATGAGTCGGTGGTATGGTGGTTAGGACGCTCGTCGACCATGGACGTGGTCCGGGATTCGATCCCCGGCCGATCCACTCCTTTAACTCGCTAAGCCAGAAATAATGCTGGTAAAGAGGAAAGGTTGGGCATGAGGCCAGCAACCGCATCCTGTAAAAATAAACACTGCTACAGAAACTTCAAGCCACTAGCTTGAAGCCGCCCTATATTCCACTGGGAACGTAAAGGAAAGAATAAAAAATGTCTTTTGTACTTTCTTTGAGGTAAGCAGACTTCCCATCTGATGTCAATTAAGAGCACATATATAGGTTAGAGAACAAAGATAGATGTTTCAGGATTTCATCATGAGCTGACATTAGTTAGAGAACCATTGGAAAACCTGAGAGTACTTGACAGCCGTTTCGTCCTAGTTTGGAACTCTTCAGCAGTACGCACCCATCGGGGTTCGAACCCAGGACCTTTTGGTTACAAGGCGAGCTCGTATACCATTAAGCCACTGGGACCCGATCCAATGGTCCTTGAATTCTAACTTCTGCCAATTCACGATATAGCGCGACCGCTAGCCAATGTCTTCGGCGAGTATTCGAATCCCGGTGGGTGCGTACTGATGAAGAGTCTCAAACTAAGACGAAACAGCTGTCAAGTACTCCCAGATTTTCCAATGGTTCTCTAACTAATGTCAGCTCATGATGAAATCCTGAAACCAATCAAATCCCTACAAACCATCACTTGAAAGATAGATGTTCTCTTAGCAACTTCTCTTCAAAGCAGTACACTTATTTTGGGTGTTCCTTTTAATGCGTTATTTATTAATTTTCAATATAGATAAACTCTCGATTTAGAAATTTAGAAAACAGAAAGATTGAGCAAAGAAATATTTACTTTTCAATTAGATCCTCATCTCACTCTGGCTCTACTCTAATATATATAGCATTTTAATTACAATACACAACAATTTACCAATCAAGTGGCACTGATATGTTTGTTAACAATAATTGGTCAGTCAGTGTCAAAATGTCAATGCGGTGATAATTAACGAAGAAAAATTAATATGTATAATTAATAGGTGGAAATGGTTGCAGCACATGGATTGCATAATGCATAATTTTGGACAAATGAAGAGCAATTAAGGAATAAGCGTGTGTACAGGTTGATTACGTAACAGATTGTTAAAGAAAATAAAACAATTTGGACAATGATAATTTGTAACTAAAGTTGAAGTGGTCATAAGAATAAAATAATTTTTACAAGGATATCACGTAATTAAAGATGAAGTAGTCATAAGAATAAAATAATTGGGATAATTATAGTTTTTAAAAAGAAAAATTATTTTAGAGGAAGGGGGGGATGAAGTAGTCCGGTTTATGCATTCATGTAACGATGGCCAAGGTAGGGAAAGGGGCTGTACAAATTTCTTCTGAACACACAGGTTTGCCTGGTTTCTTCAGGTGGATTCCTATTGCTTCAGCTGTCTGTAGAAGATGAACTCGTAAAGCAAAATTAAGACTAGTTGGAATGCGATAAATAATTTTAAGTACAGTATTAACGTCAGCCTTATGCTCACCATCTACAACGTGTGCTAAAATAGAGCTACGGATAGATCGTGTTTATCCCTTGCTTAAACATGTTGGATGATGTTCGGAAATACGATGATGAACCTACCTAATTATACGCCCAATGTAGCTGGTTTCACAACTGCAGTCAAACTGGTAGATGCACATAGAGGAGGCAAATTTAGGTAGTTTATCCTTAATACTCGAACGTAGAATAGGGGTTGTTGTGAAGAGACAACGTACCTCTGCTGCATAATAAGCTCTTTTAACTGCATTCTCCAGTCGTTGTGTTATTATTTCGCTGATGCTGTCACCGAGGAACTGTAGTTTTCTGAACATCGTTTTTTTTTAAACTGTTGCCATACTGACTCTCCTTGGTGCTGAATTCAAATTTTTCTCAATGAATTTATCCGAATAACCATTTTTTTAAAAGTAATTCCCTAATAATCGTAAGCTCCTCATTGAAGCAGTTGTCTGAACAGATTAACCTGGCTCTATGAACCAAAGGTGAATTAACAGGTAAATGCGAAATAGTGAATAATATTACGTCATCTAGTCAGAAAGTAAACAAACTCAGCAGTGAAGTTTGATTTTCATACATTTGGTTCCCTTGATAAATTTCGATAGAGACAAAAAAAGACCAGATTTGCAGTATAAAATGATGACATCATTCTATTTCACAGGTTCTCATCAGCTGCAAACTACCTGAAATTACAATGGTTATAAATAATAACATTTCATACTTCATTGTTTGAAAGGTAAAAGAGAAAACATTATAAGATGAACGCATCACCAATATTTATACTGTCAAAAAGATAAAGGGGGATGAGAGAAGACTGAAAACGGAAAAAAATCTAGTAAACAGTGTCAACATGGCAACCTGCGGGAGGAAGTACATTGGAAAGACAGAAAGAAGGGTTTCTATCCGGTTTTCAGAGCATATTCCAAGAAACTTATGCCTAAAAGGAAGCAGATATTTACAAAGTGCAATTACCGGATACCCACCTTGTGGATACGGGTCATTTTGTCGGGATTTCTAAATCCTCCGAAATATTAAACATACAAGGGACAGCGAATCTACTACGATTCACTACTGAAGCAATTTCAATCAAACGTCACAGACCAAAATTATGCATACAGAACGAGAGCGTGGTCAATCTTTCACTACCTTGGTAACCATATCACTTTCATTACACTGATTAATGATACACACTAGTGAGCTCAACTCACTAAGCAAGTTTTCAAATAGATGACCTTTGACCTTCTTGAGTTGCCATGTTGATTTTTCTGTTTTCTGTCTTCTCTGATCCCCCCTTTTTTCTTTTTTCATAGTTTGACAGTATATAAATTGATGATGCGTTCACCTTAT